AAGTTGTCTTTACTATAAGAACATATTTTTTTAAATGATTGATTTAAATGCCTGAGCTCAGGGACAAACATTCTAAATGACCTAGTTATGTTTTGTGGTTTAAATTTGAATGGTAATGATTAAAACAGATACAAGTTTTATCAGTTTGTTTCTATGTGTCTGTCTTGTGACATATCTCAATCACTTGTAATATCGTTTCATATTGATTGTTAGATTCTAAGCTGAAATAAATCAAAATGGTTTTGTGCTCAATTTCAGATATCTGCAAACACTGATTTACACCCCTAGTACTAAGCACCAGCCAACCATGTCACTCGTGATTTAAAGCAATAAAAAAGAAAGCTATATAAGTCCCATGTGTTATGCTACCTTAAAAGTCATAACCTTTGTCTTAGTGCCTGGTTCTGAGCCAGTCACTAAACAGGACCATGATTCTTTAACAGGTTTGTAAAGATCTAACTTTAAAGTCTAAAGACACGATATGAACCACGTCTGAGCAGAAACATCTCTAGCTGCTTGTAGTTTATTCCCTTTTTGCCCTAGACTGGTACTGTAGGTTGGGTGGGGATTATATTTCTCTCCTGCAACAGGAAATAAGCTACAAAGTTGAACCAAAAATAGTCAAAGCTGCTTGCAAAGAGAAAGGCTTACTTTGTAAACTTTTGGGGAGATCTGGTTTTAGTTTCATGTATTTTTGTTCCAAATAAAATTTGGTCAGTTGTTATGGAAGTATCAGTAGGTGCAGCTTTAATACAAGTTTCATGGGGCTGTATTGTCATCAGACGATCAAATGGCCTCATTTGTTCAGTCCTGTGTTCCAATTATTGCCTCAGATTACTCGCTGTGGAGTAACTGCATCTCTGGATTGTATCAAAATTGGAATCCATCATTAGGCTGAATAATAGACCAAGCTGAATTAATCTTTTCTTGACATCTTATTGGCTTTTTTTTCTAGGGGATTTTATAAATTAGCCCAACAAAATTTTACCAATTTTGTACATTTTGACAGAGTTTGACCAATATTTTTAGTCATCTCCTGGGAGAGCTGCTGTAGAATCTGTGCCAGTCATCTTCTGGTACACATTAAGTCACAGGATTTCGTCCCAGACGGTCATGCTGCTTTACCATACCTCAGGATTCTCCCTAGACTGCATATAAGCAACAACACGTGGAGACCGATGTTTTCAGAAGACAAAATAACCTTTGATAAAATATTCAGCACTGTGGTGTCGGATTGTTCATACACATGTGCTCAACATTTACTTGTACTTTACAGACACTGTGTGTTCATTAACTACTCGTGCTGTGAGGGAAGAATAATTGCCACGCTAATGAAACAGTACAGCAACACGAGGCATGAGATGGTCCAGATGGCCACATGCCTCGAGGTCTTGACTTTTAATTTGCATCTTTAATGCTGTCCCAAACCTGTAAGTGGTGCTTAGGTGAAAGGTGAGGCCTACTTCAAAGCGTGACTAAAAATTAACAGTCATGTTCTCCTCCTGGCACTCACTAGGATTGTTAAATTTGGGCACAAATGTCCCTCAAATCAAATCTGCACACCAGAATGAGCCCCATGGTTTTAATGTGAAACAGTCATCTGGAGCTGCTCTCGGCATTAAGGTTTGGCCAGTTCGTTGTGTTATTTGGAAATAAATTTAGACGTCAAGATGTGTGCTGTTTCTTTGAAGTACTTCTCCCAGTATGTCACTCTGGTAAGAAACGATGAAAGCGACTCAAATCGCTTTGTTTTTCTGAACAAGAGAACTGCATAACTGATGTTTCCTCAGTTTCCAAGTGATATGGAGTCAAACCATTTGGCAACATAGACTGCAGTCTGTGGTTTGCAAAAATAAATATATTAGGAATTGTTGTGAGGAAAATGAATGATTCTTTCCCTGAGGAAAAATGACCAAATCCCATCTTTTAGCCATCACTCCTAAACTTTCAAACACAGACATTTGTAACAGTCTTAAAACAGAATAACTCTCTCCATGTTTCTCATGATCACAGTGATATGTTGGCCTCATTCCTGCCATGCCAACATCATTCCCTTAGGATTTTAGTAATATGTTAACTCAGCAGTCAATCAGGCAAACACTTTCACAAATAAGTGGGAATCTGACGAATCATAATAACATGGTTTCAAATCGGTTACTCTCCACCGCACACGCTGGTCAATGTGTAAAGACAAAATGTCATTCTGCAAGCGGCCTTTTAACCACGATGGTGTGGCGGCCCCTCCTTTGGGTGGGGTGGCAAAGATGACCTCTGCAGGGTAGAAAGGCCATAATAGCATCTATGCTCTTGCAGTGTGTCATTACGTACTATATTTACGTGAAACACCAAAAACCAGGGGTGGTAGGTCACGAAAGGAAGCTACGGGGGGTGAAGATGCTGTGGTGCATGTCGACTCACAAACCCGGACATTAGTGGAGATTAGAGGACTGTTTAGCCTGTAATGTGGGCTTTTGTGTGTTTTAATCGTTGTACAAGCATGTTTTACAGAATCGTTACACGTTTGTGAGAGTTGTTCAATTTGTTGGCTTTTTAATCTTAAACTGATCATAGCAGGTAGACCTTGGGAAAATCTGGTGGTTAGCTTACAAATTGATGTTTTACTGTCGACGCAAA